CTCTGCCTCCCGCTATGCTATGTGAAGGTAGTGGGAAACATATACTTTGTACTTTAATATCACTAAAACTGACCGATTTATAGTGTTTTTCTTTGTTTTCTTAGGCGGCCATCTTGGATTTTTGATTTTCAGTCAGAGTCTATTAGGGATCATTGTCAGCTACCAATACGCTAAATTTCAGCTCTTTAAAAATAGCCGAGTTGTCATATTTTTTCTCTTTTAGCTAAGGCAGCCATCTTGGATATTTTTGCATTAGGAATGTATAACAACTCGCTTTCAGCTACAACCATACTTGAGTTCAGCTCAAAATCTCAACGAATGATTGCGTTATAGTCTATTTTGTGTTTGCTGAGGTAGCTGTGGCAGCTGAATCAAAATGGCTCCATACGCTAATCAGTTCTAGACATTTATCTGATGATTACTTTCTGTGAGTTCAAACAAATCCAACAGTGAATTTCTGTTTTCTTCAGGGACATCTCCACTCTGTCCTGTGACTTGACAGCAGCAGTTAGTGTGAGGAGTGTCCTGTTCATTTCCTATGGGGAAATATGGCGTCTCTTCTAGCAAAATACATCGTCATGGTAACTCCGATTGCCAATAAACGTAATAGCTCCCTTCTCGAGACCGAGCTCATCGGAGGGAGCAGACTAATCAGGGCCGCAACCTTCAAACTAACATCACCGCTGTCTGAAAGACAAAAAATATAACCGTAAATTACCAGCAACTGTGGTTGACTGAATTTAACCGTTGAAAAAATGTGACAAAGTAAAAGACAGTACCGTTTTGTAACTTGTGTTTTTTATGATAAATTAATCATTTTAAACCTGTTTACGGTAATTTATGTCGAAACAACAGAGACATTCTGTGAACATGATTAGTCTCCCAATATATATTTAAACTACTGCAAACTACAGTTAACGCGTCATAGATTTAACCTTCAAAGCACGTTACCTGTAAAAGGTGAGATAGGAAAACACAATACTGGATTCTTTTAACTGTTTTTTAAAATTATTATTACTTTAGTTATCATTTTAAGCTGCTGTAGCTGTAATATACAACACATGTAACACGTTTCTTTTTCTATTAGATACATAGTAAAAATACTATATTCCCCAATACTTTTTGTTAGCTGTTTAGGTCAACATATGTTTTATAGTTTGTTGGGATAAAGGTGAATCA